GGAAGAATGGGGAAGCAAGTTAGGAAAACTTCCTTCATTGCGCCCTGCGACCGCGGAAGGTGTCCACAGCCTTCCCAGTAGAAGCAGAGATGACTTCAAAAATTTTTATATTAAGTTAATAAGACGTAACTAAAATATTCCTGCGTGTATTCAAGCTAAACTTGAGTTTTAGTAAAGATGAAAATGCAGTTCACTGTGCTGAAGATGGACATTTTCGCTGGGTTTGTAGCTCCATTCCTCATTCCTCTTCAACATGCCTAAGATGTAAAGGCCCATCTGTAGGTGGTAAAAACTGAGGCAACAAGCAAAATAATTTATCTTCACCGTCAAAATCAAAGCCAAGTGGCATAATTTCTTGAATAATTCAGAATATTTCCTAGCTAAGTATTTTAAGAAATGGCAAGCTAACAAACAATCTATTCGTTCAACCACCACGGCCATCAATGGCCTTTTGATCCACTGAGTGTCTCACAATCTTAGTGCGACAGCAGGAATACATTCTGTTGGCCTTTGTACTTTTCCTACAGAGTACTACAATCAGCAACACACAGGACAGAAAAATATTATTCCTTTCAGATATACACATGAGATTTCTAATTGTAAAAGACACATGAATTCTATCCTAATCTCAATGACAACGAGCACAACACTCTAACAATGGGAAGGCAATCTTTAAAACTTCAAATTTACTTAATAAGCATTTAAAGTCATCCAGCGGTTAACCCTAGATTGTTACAATGAGCACACCAGTAAGAAGAATAACTAATTCCCTGGACTCCTAGCTGACAGGCATTGTTATAAATGCTTTATATGTATTAATTTATTTAATCCTCTCAACAGCTCTATGGGGTGGGTACTATTATCACTCTCATTTATGGATGAGGAACTGGAGGCACAGAGTTACGGAACTTGCTCCAGGTCACGCATGCTGAGTGGTGGGCCGAGCCTTACACCAGGCTCTCACCACCACACCACACTGCCTCTCCAAGTCCTTCAGGTTCCTGAACCAGGATAAGCTTTGACCCACTACAACACTCAGGTTTTAAAGATGGCTCAGACAGACTTTTCTGGGGATTTATTGCTTGGTAATAGTTTTTCTTGGATAACCATTAGCCTATGAAAGTTCCTGTTTTACTCAACTCCCTCAATTCTCCTCTAAGAGTTAGTAACTGCAGATCTGGCCTACGTATCCTCAAAAAAGAATGGGTTAGGGTAACAGATTTTATATTCTATGACCACTTCAAACAATTCTTTTGAAGCCTCAATCTTTAATAATACATTGATGCGCCACCATCATAGAACCCATTATAACATGTATTTGGTACAACATATGCCTGTCCTTACCCATGAAAAAGGTTACTACATACATCTAACGGGCCTCCTTTAACTTTCGAGGCACGGATCGCAACCATGGCATTACAATCAGGTTTTACTGTAAACTCTGGAATTTAATAATAGAATATCTTGTATTTGTAAACCATTCTACAAATTACAAAACACTTTCTAAAACATTCTCTCACTTGATCCCCCAGCATCCCTCAAGAAGAGGCAGGGCTTTTAACCTCCAACTAGCAAATGAGGAAATGAAGCGAGGTTAAACATCTTCCTGTTAGCAAAAAGGCCATCAGAGCTCTTCTGCCCTATGCGCCAGCTTTGTCCCCACTACACTTTCACTGCCTCTCCTTTCTAAAGTATCTTCATTTTAGGCAAAAACCTTATTTCTCCTCCTAACATTCTTGTTTATAAACGGGGAAACTGATGCAAAGGATGGCCAAGTGAAATGCTCCAGACCTAAGTGCTAGTCAATTGCAGAGATAAAAACTAGAACTCAACTCATAGTGTTTAGTTCACCAATTCCTGGAAGGCAAGGATTATTCTCACAAATAGTTATCAAATGCTTATTCTGGATGAGATACTAAGTGAGGTGAAAAACAGACATGGCTGCTGCCTGATGGAGCCTCAGTCCAGTGAGGAGAGACAACAAGTAAGCAAGCCAACAATTTCAGTCTGTGGAACTTCCGAGGAGACGAGCAGGGAACAGCAGCAGGATAAGGAGGCAGGAAAACATATTTACACAGGTGGTTAGGGAAGGCCTCTCTGAGGTGACTTTTTAAATTGAAATGTAAAGGATGAATAAGAGGCAGCCATGAGAGTCAGGAGAAGAGCATTCCACACTGAGGAAATAGCATTTTTTAGGACAATCTGTAACTAGTCACGTTTCATATTCCTTGGGTCTTTAATAAGAGCTTTTGGACAATGTCTTTAATCCTTACCTTCCTACTGTTTCTTCTGTTAAACTGTAATGTGTTGTTGGATCACGGCACTTTGGAGTTGAAAAAGGATTAATTCGTGTAGCCAGAGCCTCACGTTTTAAAGAGAGATTCATCGAGGCGTGGAAGACTGGCCTTTTAGTAACACTGCCCAATGCTATGGCATAAGGAATTGGATTAAAGTATCAATAATGACTGCAAACCACAGAATCTTTTTTTTTCCCTTCTGAAATCCGAATCCCACACTAACTTTTCCCTTAAAATTAACTTCTCTATTAAGCTAGCAACACACATTTGGAACCCCGAAACTCACCAGTTTTATCTACCTTTACAAAGCATGTGTTTATACTGTGCGAATAATGCCAGGACACCACAACTGGATTTTGTTTGTCTAGTGAGCTATTCATTAGCTTTTATAAAGCATGGCCAAACACCAGCACCAAAGGATGCTAAAGGAATCCTGAGGATGAAGTACCAACTCAAATCAATTTAGATGAAGAAGGAGAGTCGGTTTCTCTGGTAGAGGGAGCCTATGACATTCAAATTCCTGGAATTACCCTTGGCACCACCTTTTCCCTCCTCCGCTCACCTTCTAAAGCAACCCGATGGTATGCAGACATTCAGGTCAGTTTCCAGCATGTTAGATTGTACCTGTAATTTAGGCAACTTGCTTTCAAAAGCTACCATTAGTCTTAGCAGAAAGGAAGTATTATCTGGTGCAACTTCTGAGAAGCAGCAGTTAAGAGTTATTTTCACACAAAAACTCAAGTCTACAGTATAATTAAATGTCACAAAAAGAGTAACCGGTATCCACTGTGAACTAAAAGTAGGAAAAAACAATTCTTTGAAACAGTAATTTTACCTGGCAAAAATATGAATAATTCAGACATCTCATAACAGCCATAAAAAACCAGTTTTGCTTTCTGACCCTTATCAGTGACTGGTCCAATCCTGCTGAGCTTGAAAATGTAAAATCTGCTTTCGTGCAATTATTTATCAAGCATCAACTACGTGCAAGGCCGTATAAGATAGAAACTGTACAAGGCAGAGTTCCTGCCCTTAAGGAGTTTACAATCTAATATACGTTAGGTTATAAATTGTTGGTCCAAGACCTCTATCACTATTAGCGAGTACCCACTGGAACACACAGGTGAAATGAACCTGTGTGTGAAATGAGGGAAAAGACAGCAAGCGTCTGAAGTCCACACTAAAACCTGTATGTGGTTCTCTTCAAATCTGCTAATATCTGCAAAAGACCCTGGCTGATAACACGCTGGTAACCAATCACAGAAAGCATGCTAACAAGAAACCAACTTCTTTTATTCTGGTCTTAGCAAAATTTGGCCATTTCCTGAAATGAGTACCTAGCCTGTCTTCGGTCTAAGTAAAACTTCAATTAAAACTGTATAATTACAGAAATGTACAAAAAAGAAATCCAGTTTTTAAAGAAAAAAAGCAAGACTAGATCTGGTGAACTTAGATGCTTCAGTGTCCTCGAAAAACACATACCCACTGCATTCTTACAGATTTATAAAAGCTTAATACTCTGCAGAACACTTGCTCTCCAGGAGGAAAAAAAAAAAAAGCATTTTAACCTCACCTTTCTTCACCCCTGACAGTTGCCTAGAAACCGGTCCTGCCCTACCTGTGTTGCAGGTGTACCTGAAGTCACCATCTTTTAAAGCTACAGTCTCTATCCCGACTGCACTTAAGTTTATGACTAACAATCTATTCATATTTTTTATCAGGTAAGAGACTGGTTTCTTTCAAGCAGTGACGAAATCCTAATAAAGACTAAGCAAGCACCCATACAGCACCAATCATGGTGAAGGAGTCATCTAATTTGTACAGGAATATGATATACGTATAAACACACACACGTAGACACGAGAAACACCCAAGAAGCGCTCACGTTGTGCACACACAACCCGGCGGTCCCACTCCCCGGGAAGCAGGGTTTCGGGCGGGCGGAGCAGAGTCGCGTTTCTCAGCGAGCAGGAGGCGGGCGCGGAGCCGCTCGGATGAATTAAAGGACTGGACTGCGGCCCCGCAGCGGGACTGCGGCCAGAGCCGCAGCGGGCACCGGCCAGCAGCGCCCCGCAGCAGCCTGCCCGCAGCTTCCAGGGCTGCATCACTGGCACACGGTGCGTCCCACGGCACCGCGGCCCGCGCCGCCAACAAGGGGAAAGCGCGAGGCCGCCCCCGGCCCGCCGTCCCGTCCCCCCCAGCGGCCTCGGGGCCGAGACGTGTCCGGGCGCCCGGTGAGCGGCCGGCCAGGCGAGGGGCGCCCCCAGGCCCGTCCACGCCGCCCGGCCGGCCCCTCCCTCCGTGCGTCCCGGGCACTCCGCGTCGCCGCGACCCTCCAGCGTTCAGGGGAGCCGCCCGCGCGTCGGGGCGCCGCCCTCCCCGCCCCCGGCCCGCAGGCCCCTTACCCCCGCCGAGCCGCGGCTGCCCCACGGCGCCCTCCCGCGCATGTCCGTCCCGGCTGGCTCAGCGCCGCGGGCTCGGGGGCCCGGACACCGCGCAGGCGCCTCGCCACTCGCTCGCCGCTCGCTCCCGCTCACGCTCCCCGTTCGCACTCGGCCGCCGTCGCCGCCGCGGCCGCCGCCTCGCTATATAGCGAAGGGGGCGGAGCCGTGACGTCCTCGCTCACCGCCCCACCTCCCCGGCGCAGCCAATACGGGCCGCGAGCCCCTTAAAGGGGCGACGCCGCGGCCGAGGCGTTCGCGTGGGGTCCGCCGGCGTCGCGCGGGCCTGCGGGGAGGCAGCTTTTGTTTCCCGAGGGAGATGGTTCTGGGCGCCGCGGCCTCCGCGTCCCACCTCTGCGGGAGCCGAGCGGCGGCTGCCGAGCCCCAGGACCCCCTAACACGGAATTTTCCTCAGAAGTGTGTGGACAGCGGCCTTGGCCGCCTCCCTGCCCGGGCCAAAGGCGGCGTCGCGCCTCGCGCGAAATTTCCCGTCGTTTTCAGCCCGGGGAGGGTTTTGGCGTGGCCGCCGCCGCGTGGGTGGGCCCAGGATGCCGGGAGAAGGCGGCGGTGGAGGCTCTGCTGCCCTGCAGGCTCGCGCCCACCAGGACGCCCGCGGGCCTAGGCCGGGGAGGGACAGTGAGGGACAGAGTGGGGCATCGAGGGACAGTGTGGAACAGCATGGGACCGAGTGGGACGGCGCGAGACAGTGAGGGACAGCAAGGCCATGTTGGTGAGGGCCTTTCATGGGAGAGTTGAGAGTGGGTCTGCCCGGCCACCTCTCCTCTGACCACATGTTTGGCAATCAAGGCCAGGCCCTGGTGGCAGTTGACCCGGCCAGGGCCACCTACCGGCTTCCAGAAGGAGCGCTCCCACCCCTACCCTGGCGTCCCCTTGAGTTCCCAAGCTCATGTTTACCTAGACCCACTCCGACCTCAACATCTCTTGGCGTTGGGGCAGCCACTGATGCCCAAGGACAGAACGCCAGCAAGCCGCGGGAGGAGGTTTCTCCGGGCGCCAGTGATGCAACTTAGGCTTATAGTTTAACCGTAAGATAAATAATACAAATGATAACAAACCAAGAGTAACTAAAGTAAGAAAAAAGCAAACAGACAGAAACCCTTCAGTTTTAAGTAAAACAAATCCCCTGAATGGTACCCTCTATTGAGCAGAGGCCGAAGACCTCCGGCTGACCTCTTTGGTCTGGGTAGAGCCCCTTCTTGCGTTTCAGCAATAATGCCCACTGGTTACACGTTTAGCACTACCTAATTGGGGTAGTTTAACATATGGAAGGAGATTCCGACCTCATTACCAGGTTAACTATTAACTTTGCACTCCATGAAATGATTTGCCTTTTCTCCCCTATTATTTACTTACATTCTTTTAAATTTAATTCAAAAGCCTAATTTTGAATCCAAGGCCTTAAGCACAAAAAAATCTGAAGTATCCCTTTGCCCTCTTATTTGCAAGATAAACAAATGTTTAGCAAAGAACTGTACCCTCCTTTCTGACGGGCTCCTGCTGGACTACAAGGGCTCTTGGTCATTCTCATGCCTATGCCACTTAATCAGTTATTCCATCTTTCTGTTGACTTACGTTCTTACGTGTTGCCATTCATTTAGGATTATTTTGGGATGATGGAAATTAGTCACTAATTGCTGGTTTTCTTACCAAATTGCCTAGGTTTTTTGATTCACAGAAAATCTATCCAGATTTTTTCCCCATTCTGGTTTCACTTATGTGTATGACTTACCCATATGCTGTTATCAGTGTAAAAAAAGGATCAGCCTGAGACCTTGCCAGAGACCATCTTTTCATGCCTCACAGTACAGCATTTACTGAATGGGGCCCTAGATGAGCTCAGGTTCCATCCAAAAGGAACCCTGCTTATGCTATTTCAAGTCACTACAATACAGCTGTAATTTGTGCTTTGGCCTTATTGGCGTGCTTTTACATTCCCCTATTCATAAAACAGTGATAATCACCAGAGCAACCATCAAACACACCCCTTCTTTAGAGAAAGAAGATCAACAGGATACTCACTGCATCCTGTCTGGTTGTGAGCAGGGTGATGTGCTAATATTTGGTAAATTGTCAAAAATCATAAGATCACATGAGTAATATGTGATTAATCCGATTTTTTGTCCTGTTGTATTTTAAACTTGCAAAATAAATATGATGATTTATTCGTTTTTTGGGAAAAACTAGTTTTAGCTGACAGCTTACTGAGTTTTGCTTACAATTATGTCCATATAATATGGCTTTCTCAGCTGTGGATGAATTACGTGAGAAGAACTATGCCCTGTGAATCTTTTATCTAGTAGTCTATTAATGATCTTTTGGAATAACATTGACATGTCAATAGTATCGTAGAGAATTTTGGGAAGAGTTTAAAAGGAAAATGTTAAGCAACTTGAAATAGTATTAGCATATTGTGTTTATCAAGTAATCATTCACTGACTGTTAACAACACTAGTCTGCAGGTTTGGGGAAAAAATAGTCTCTTTGTACTGAACCCAGCTTGTTTTAAATTGTCTCTAGTAAGAAAGAAATTTAAAGTCAGATGATGTTTTTTTACATCTCTCACAGTCCATTTAATTTTGCTGCCACTTCCGAAGGAATTTGTATTAGCTGATTGTTTTTTGATATGAAAAATCTAAGCATAACATCTAAAAGGTTAGACTTCCATTGCATTGACTGAAGTTGCCACTTTGCACTCGCCCTCCTTTCTGTGTAAGAAGAAGCTGTCCTTGGAGTGAGAACAGGGGAGGTTCTGGCTCGGAAACCTTAGAATCAGACGCTGCCTTCCCAAAGATGTTGGTTCTGTCTCTCCTCTCCCAGTAATACGAGTCATGTGTAAGCATAAATATGCTGGACAAGGGGCCTGACACCCCTTCCAAATTTATATTTTTATGTTATTTGAATCCTACAGAAGAGTATATACATTTTGGTGTGCATTCTTCTTGATTATAGATGTTTTTGTGTTTCTGCTTTGTTTATAAAGAAATATTTTAAAGTGAGACACTTTCTGCATTACCCTCTTCGTCCCGGATCCTTTACTTTTGTCTATTCATGACATAAAGTTAACTGTGCACTTTTTAAAAAAAAACTAATTTAGAGATAAGCACACAATAGAAAAAATACATGACAATGGAAGAATTGCACTTCTTACAGGTCATTTGTTTAATATGCCACTTTGTGTTTTAGAGACATCCTGGCACAGATATATATGTATATCTGTAAACTTTATATATATCCAATAAACTTTGTGGATTACTTCCAAACATACCTGCTGATACGAACCAAGATTCGTCCATGAAAAGCGCCACCTCACAATTGAAGTCTCCACTGAGCTTTCAAAGTTAGCAGCCATTTGAAAAGTAGCACAGAAAAAGATTTCTTCACAATTTCCATTTTTCCCTTATGTACTTAGGGATACTCCTCCCCGTTCCTAGTTTTTCCCCTAAAGAAAAAAGGAAAAATTATGTATACTCAGCCTGTGGGAAGACCTTGCAGGCTGGTTTTAATTTATCGGTCTGTTGTTTTAAGTGTTAGGGCCACGGCTTAACTACTGCTTCTTAGTATGGGGTTTAGAGAGGCTATTTGTATAGTTGTTTATTTATAATGGAGCCACTTTTCGGTTACCTAATGCTGCCTTAACAAACATTTGATGCTATTGGTGGTGGTTGTATTTCTAATTCTCTCATTTTCAGAACTTATAACCATTAGAAATTTTTTAGTGTCCTATAGATACATTAATTTAATATTGAGACTATTTACAAGACAGTTTTTTCAAGTTTCTTTTAAACATTAATCTGATTTTATCTTCAAATTTTAGCGTTGCATTTTCTCTGAACTCAATGCTGTATTTCCCATTAGCTGGCCAGTAGGGTGTGCTCTAGTCCCTTGCCAAGTAAATAAATTAATTAAAAATATTAGTGTAAACTCTTCATTAAGAGATTTCAGAAATATATTTACTCCTTCATTGCCCCTAACACAGATGAGGTACATTTACATGGACACATGAATAGTTCAGCGTATGCAACATATATGGCAAGTAAAATGGTTATATTAAAAAAAGAAAACTCTGAGATGTTTACCTCTTTGCATTAAGTTCTAAAATAATTTGTTGTTATTTTTCCCAATTGGTCCCTTGGTAACAGATGTGTTCTTCTATTCTGGATGAAAGAAGAATGAGAAAAGTGATGTGGTGACGACAAGCCTACACTCTGCGGTAAGAGGGTCTGGGTTTGAATCTCAACACTAACACCCACCAGCTCGCAGCTAAGGCAAGTGACTTACTCTTGTAAGATGGGGTTAGAGTGGTTCCTCCGCAGGGCTACAGGACGGATAAATGAGATTGTACATGTAAGTGTTTAGAACATGGCCTGGTCCTGTCAGAGTTCAATAATGTTAGCTGTTTTCATCATTATTGTCATTCTCATTGTTGTTATACATTCTTGGAGGGATTTTTGAACACCTTTCATTGCAAGATTCCAATATTCTCTGTTGCTTATCAGTGTACATGATTTAATTTGTCCAGGAGGTTGTTTCATTAAATTCCAGGAGCATAAATGATTCATAAGATAAAATGTCTTTATCTGCAGTGTTTCCACTGAGGAGCCTATACAACCTTGAGCCAAAGAAGGGGATCTGGCACAGTGCAGTTTCAGACACCAGCAGTTCTTGGAGAGAGACGCTGCTGGCAGGGAGCATCTTCCCAGCATCTCTGAAGGGAAGGTAGCAAGTGACCAGAAGTCTGTGAGCATTTACTTGTGAGCCCATACTCATAAACATCCACAGGCATGTTTCCTTAAAAAAATAGACTTAGTTTGTCCATAAACTTAAAGTCCCTACAGAACTTTTAAATCTGAACAGCTACACGTTTTCTCTGGAATGCAAAGACAATGGGGTATCCTCAGTGACTGGGTCCAGTAGCATTGTAAGAACTGAGTGAACACCAACTCTTCTTGGAATTTCTAACTTTATTCATTTATTCATTCATCCATCAATAAGTATCTATTGAACTCCTACTATGTGCCAGTCCATACTAGGTACCCAATAGTGAGCAAGAGAGATGCAAACACTCCCCTCAGAGAACTGTCAGTTGTGGGGGTTATGGACAAGCACACAGGATGTTGTGATGAAATGCTGTGATGGGGGCCAGCAGGGTGCTATGGAAATAATAAGAGAGGCACCAGCCCAGATGAAGGGAGGTCTACGCTGAGAACTGAAGGATGCTTCAGCAGTGAGATAAAGGGGGAAGAATGTTCTTGGCAGGGCAAACAGCAAATATTCAGAATGTGACGTTTGAGGAGGTCAAGTTCACTGTCAATGACAAGAAGGTAAGAGATGAGGTTGGAGAGGTTAAGGAGGGGCTGGGTTTTACTTGACTGTACAAGCCATGTTAAGAAGTTCAGACTGTGCTAAAATTGGGGAGCCACTGCAGAGGTTTAAAGTGGACAGTGAAATGTTTAAATTTGCATGTTAGAAAGGTTACTCTTGTTGCCATAGGCACTGTGTGACCAAAAGAGTTATAATTTGGGGCTGGGAGTGCTAGGTTATCTTCTGAGTTCTGACATCGTTTCTGGCTAGGGCATCAGTTCTTCTAACTCTGGGACATGAAGACCTGTACCTATCCTTGGCAGTAATTATGGCTCAGACAGGAGACAAGAAGGCAGGCAGAGAGAGAGAGACAAATGCAGAGTTTTGGTCAGCTCCTTGGTCTTCACCCACTCAGGGTAAGAGGAATGGTGTCTGTGGCTCCTTTGGGGAAAATACAGGTCGATGTTCGTGGTCTTCTACAATAAATCCTTTGATGTCTACAACATTGCAAAAGTTACAAAGATCTAGTGGAGACGCCCCTAGAACTCAAGGCTTTAGGTTTAATACTCCTTTTGTAGGAGAAGATATGAACTTCAAATCCATTATAAAGATTAGATGAATGTTGGTTGATACTTTAGTTAAATTTGCCAATATATTTGCCACCATAATGTCTTTTGGGTTATTTCTGACTCTTCCTTAGTCAATCTAAGATTGTGGAATTAATGTTCCAGATTACACTTTTCATGAAATAATGATTGTGAATGAGTGATATTTTAGAGGAAGCTGTGTTTTTTTTCAATAAAAAGGCATATTTGACTGTGTCATTAAGACAAGTGACCGTTCCTATACTTAGTTTCTTCTGTTGTAAAAAACGTGTGATTATATCATTAACTTTAGGGTGTTGTGATTAATGAAAGCTGTTTGGGAAAGAAATGTGACAAAAATATAGTTTTCACTGATTTAGAAATATAATAAAATGTACTCCCTGTTAATGCAAACCATCCTGATGCAGCAGAAGGCACTTCAGGACATCTGGGGTTATCATTATATTCATTCAACAAACGAGTCTCTACTATATATACTTTTGCTGGTTTCTACTTTTTCAAAGTAAAATTCAGAAAAACTTCCTTTCATTTGGGCTTTCTGGTTGCTTCTATTTTAAGTGTTCTTTAATACTTTATAAGCATTTGCTCCATCTCATTAAGTAGAACATATGATTCTAGTAAGAGGATTATTTATTTTACATCTCCTATAGTACACAGCACAGTTGTTGACTTTTTTGATCATAGGTATAAACTTAAATTATAGGAAGGAAGATTTGAGTGAGTGCAAATGCCTAATTGATATAAAAAGGCAAAATAAGAGTGTTCAGAGCAAGGCTGTAGATTCTACCTCCTAAAAAACTTTCAGAATCAAATTGACCCTTTGAACCAGTGTTTTCACTAGCACTGTAAACTAAGGAAATAATAATAAAGAGAAAGCTTTGTTCAATGCAGTGTTATTCATAATAGTGAAAAACTAGCCTCTTAGTGGGACAACTACCCAAGTAAAATATGGAATATCTGTTCAGCTATTAAAGTGATGCTTGATGATTTTATAATTAGGAATAGTAATAATACCTAATACTTTTATAGCATTTACTAAGAAGTAGGCACTGTTCGAGGGCTTTATGTATATTAATTAATTTAACTTCCATAATAACCCTATCAGGTACATGCTCTTACTACACCCAGTTGATGAGCAGGGCGAAGCAATATGCCCAGGATCACACGGCTAATAACTGAGGATTCAAACCTAGGCACTTAGTTTGCTTTTAACCGCTACAATTTCTTCCATTGTGTTTAGTGAAAAAAGTAGAATAAAAGATTGAATATGGAGTATCTATCCTCATGTTATCAGTTAAGATATTTTAATTTGCTAGTGACAGAAAATTCAACTCAAATTCATCTTTTTAAAAAAAGGAATTCAGTGGTTCAGTAATGGGAAAGTCTAAGGGTGTGTAGCCGCACGCACTGCTTTTCTCAGGTGCTCAAATGGTGTCACCAGATCAGGACTTTCTCTGGCTTGGGGCTTGTCTGCTTTTGCGTTGGCTTCATCTGGAGGTTTCTCGGCAGCATGCATGATGGCTGCCAGCAAACCCTAGAGTGATCCAAATGAAAAAAAAAAAAGAAGAAGAACTTATTTAATGGTTTAAAAACCCTGGGCCTGATTCTCACTAGCTCAAACTGCAGGCCAGGGAGTGCAGTGCTCTGACTGGCCAAGCTGAGCATGAGCCCACTGTGGGTAGAATCAGCTCCATCTGGAGCTCATCAACTAAGGGTTGAGGATGGGACAGTTTCCTACAGTAAAACTAGGGAATGCACTAAGAGAAAAGGGAAAGGAATGTTTTTAGTATATGTCAAGTATCCACAACAACAATTTTCTTATCTGCAAGGTAAGCATTTAACACTGTTAACTTACAAATTTCTCGAATTTCTTGACTTTGATGACACTACACTGTCTTACCTTTTTGATGCCTCTCCTCAGTCCTCCTCAGTCTTCTCTTCTCTTCCCTGATGCTTAGCTGTAGGCATCCTCTGGAGCTGTCTCTATTTGTTCCTGTCTTAGCCGTCTCACTCAATTCCTAAACTTTTATGATCACTTCTATATGAATTCCACCAAAATCTAATTGTAGCCCTATCTTCTTTCCTGACTTTTCATTACGTATTTTCAGTTTCTTGCCAGTGCTTCTCCCGTGGATGTCTGTTGCAGATTGACTTCCTTGGGAAGCAGGCTTTGAGATGGAGGACATTTATTAGCATGTGCTCTTGGGATGTGTTGAAGGGAGGAGGAAGAAGCAGATTTGAGCAGGAGGAGAAGTTGAGCTGTGATGCAGGCCCAGTGTAGGCCTCAGCTGATTCTGTGGAAAGGTCTGGAGCAGGATTGGCCCTTCAGAGGGAGCTGGGCCTTTATTCCTTCCACTCTCATTGGCCAGTCATGGATGTGGATTGCCCTTGGGAGAACAAGTTACCTTGGGCAATATAATTTTCTTCAGCTGAGTCAATTTCCAAAGAAGGTTGACAGCTAAGGGTCATTTTCTGGCAGCAATGCTAGAAATATGAAGACTAATCCTAAAAGTAAAGCTTTCAGTCCTCAAGGAGGATCTGGGTAACTCATCATAGTAGCTTCTTTTTGTTCTCTCTGCTCTTTCTCTATCTCCCCTCACTCTACTCTTCTAATAGTTTTGGTGATGTTTTTACTTAGATATTTTGAGGCTATGTTATTAGATGCATACAAGTTTGGAGTTGTTAAACCTGTCTGGCAAATTGAACATTCTGTTAACATGTAATGAACCTTTACCTCTAGTAATAATTTTTGCTTTAAAATTTGCTTTGCTTGATATTGCTGTACTCACACTGGCTTTCTTCTAATTAGTACTTTGGTGAATCTTTTTCCAAAATTTTCTTTTTAATCTTTGAGTTTCCTTAAGTTTAGGTAAATCTTGTCAAAAGCATAGAGCTAAATTAAAAAATATTTTTGGTCTTCTAACTAGAGAGTTTACTTATAATTATTGTGATTACTGATATATTTACTGATAATTAGAATTCATTTTTTACCATATTATTCTGTACCTTCTATTTGTCTTGATTTAAGGAATTTCTTTTTTCTTCTTTCTTGGTACTCATTGCATATTTTTCTCATCCTATTTCCCCCAACTTAGAAGTTATGCCCTCTATTTTTCCTTTTTAGTGGTTATCTAGAAATTGTGAAGTGCATACTTAACAGCAAAATCTAAAGCTGTTATCTTTACCCTCCTGAAAATTCAAGGAACACTTTAAGAACATGTTAACTCACATCAGTATCTCCCAATTTTCATTTTCTTGTCTAGAATTTTACTTTCTCTCTCTTTAGCACCACAAATTGGGCATTGTTATTGTTGTTCATACAGTCAATATTTATTTAGATTTAACCATATGTCTTTTTTTTTTTTTTTTAAAGATTTTATTATTTCCTTTTTCTCCCCAAAGCCCCCCGGTACATAGTTGTATATTCTTCATTGTGGGTTCTTCTAGTTGTGGCATGTGGGATGCTGCCTCAGCGTGGTCTGATGAGCAGTGCCATGTCCGCGCCCAGGATTCGAACCAACGAAACACTGGGCCGCCTGCAGCGGAGTGCGCGAACTTAACCACTCGGCCACGGGGCCAGCCCCCATATGTCTTTTTTGTTCATCATTCCTTATTATCCCTCAGGTATTATTTTAGGGTTAGTTTTCTATCTTCTTACAATACATTTCTTTTGAAAGTTCCTTTAGAGATGATGTGTTGGTTGAAAATGCTGTCAGTTTTTGTTTTTTTTTGAAAATGTCTTTTTTTTTACCCTCCTTCTGGAAAAATAGTTTCATGTATATACAACTCTAAGTTGACAATTTTTTCCTTGGAACTTAGAAAGTATTATTCCACTGTCTTCTAATATTATCATTATTAGTGGAAAATTAGTCGTCAGTCTAATTGTCCTTTTTTGTAGGTATTATCTTTTCTCTGTGTCTTTAAAGCTTTTCTCTCTGTTGTGCATTGCAGTTTATTTACAATTGGTCTATGCAAGTTCTTTCATTTATATCTGAAGATTATTGTATTTCATCAGTGCTGGAAAATTGTTGGGCATTATTTCTATTGCCTCTTCCTCATTCTTTTCTTTCCTTCTATAACTTTGATTAGAGGAATAATAGACCTTCTTTTCTGTCCTTTGTGTCTCTTATCTCTTATGTATTTTCTATTTCTGTCTCTCTGTGCTAGATTTTGTGTAACTTCTTCAAATCTATCTTCCAATTTGTTATTACTTTCTTTAACTGTATCTGCTACTTAACATTAATTGATTTTATAATGTCAATTATTATATTTGTCATTTTTAGATGTTGTATTTGGTTCTATTTCAAATATGCTTGGTCATTTTTGATAATCTCTTTTTCCTTCTTTGTTATCCTCTTTTATTACTTTAATTGTAGTAAACATAATATTTAATATTTGGTATCTAATAATTCCAATATCCACAGTCTTTGTTGGTCTACTCCTGCTGTTTGTTTTTTCTGCCAGTTTTCCTTTTAGTAACTTGTTTCCTCATGAATTTTGCACTTTTTGATGTGAAACTTTTATTCTTTGGAACTTTATCTGTGAATATTTAAGGATTGGCATTTGTTTATGCTAGACACCCAGAGGTGTTAGAGAGCCAGGATTACTTGAATAAACTGAATTTTGGGCTAAGACTTTTTTGGGGGCACTGACAGATAATGTGGGTTCTGACCTGTGTGAGCATGGGCTTGTGGTAAGGAATTCTCAGGGGAAACTTTTTTTCCTTTCCACCACAACTGAATATGAACAAGTAAGTATCCTCTCTATCTCCCTCATCAGGACAAATATTTCCCTAATTCATCTATTGAAGGTGTCACCTTTTAGGGTCCCAATTTTATGCAGTCTTTCCTAAGGCATCCCACTCTATGCAGGTACCTACCTGGCTTTGTCTTCCAAATTCCACAAACAACTCACTAGAAATCAAGGCCAGGAGTCAGAAAACTTGTTCCATAAAGGCCCAGATAGTAAATATTTTAGGCTTTGCAGGCTGTATGGTCTCTGTTGCAGCTACTCATCTCTGTTGTTGCAGTGAGAAAGCAGCCATAGACAATAAATGAATAGGTGGGGCTGTGTTCTGATAAAACTTTATTTACAAAAACAAGCGAGAAGCTAGATGTGGCCCTTGGACCATAGTTTCCTGACCCCTGCTCTCAGCCATCAGGAATTGGCAGATGCCCTCAGAGCAGATGCCAACTTCATTGTTTTCTTACGTATTTGGAGTCATGCTTTCTTCCTCTGTCAGGTCTCTGAGGATTTCACTTACCATTTTGCCAATCTGGTCATGCATTTATAAAGATGTTTTAAAATATTTTGCTTGTGACTGAGTTGTTCTGCATCAGGAGGGTTTCTCTGGATGTCTAGTCCACCTCACTGCCAGAAATGGAAGTCAAATTCATCTTATTAGTACAGATTTTCTTATGCTCTAATAACCACACTTGCCTAAGATATTAAGCCTGAACTTCTTAGATGGGTATTTAAGGCTTTTTATCCTCTGTCTTTAGCCTATCTTTGCAATTTCTGGCTCCCTCTACTTCCTTACAATTACCATGTTTTCAGTCAAATTAGAATACTCATGCTTTTTTCAAAAAGCCTTTTTTTGCCTACCTCTCTCCCATTTTCATGCTGTTCTCTGTACTATCCTTACATGTTTCATTCCTAGTGTTTCCCTTGGCAACAGCAGCTGGTTAAAAGATGATTCTATCTTCAGATCTCATCTCAGATACTTTTTCCTTTATTTTCATCTCAATTGGATATACTTTCTCCCTCCTCCAGTGTTCTGCCTTATATTATAGCTATTTGGTTACCGCTGCTAAATTGTAAGCTCATTTAAGACAGAGAACATCCCTTACCCAATTTTGTAGACTTCTCTCCTTCCCTCACAGGGCACCTAGCATAATATTTTGAATACAGCGGGTACTTAAATATTTGCAAAATGAATGGATACATAGCATTTTTTTAAGTTGGGAAAACTCAGATTTTATTGTAAAGCCCATGCCATTTTCAAAGGTAGATCTTCAGCTCTTCCTTAGGCTTATCAGTCACTCACTACAGCCACTGCATTAGGTCAGAAATAGAATCACAGCTGTGCTCATGTCCTACAACTCATGTAGAATCTCTTTTCATGGGGTCTGAAGGTTATTATCAGCAAAATAATGACACCACCCAAAGATAACTACTGTTAACAGTGTACATATTGTTAACATTGTCAACAAGCACTCTTTCACGATGTGATTTTTCATGGCTACTTAGTAATCCATCATATGGATATAGCATGAATCATGTGTGCCAGTCTTGACTATTAGAGTTTCAACATAATGTTATTATAAATAATATTGTAATGAACTGCCTTGTATGTAATTTTCCATCTCTCTCCTTATTTCCTCAGGATAAATTCTACCACGTAAAGGAAATGCTGAATCAAAGGGACTGAACATCTTTAAAAACTTTTTCAATTGCCAAAGTGCAACCAGATTATTGGACCACTTGGGACATCCACCAGCAGTACAGTGCCCATTTGATGACACACTCTCCAACTTCAGATTTTTTGGTTAGTTTCAGATCTTTTTCTTTGTTTATTTGTTTTTGAGGGTCAGTTCATTAGGCAAAATTTTATCACAGTTTTAAGAAAATGCGCATTTCTCTTTATATTGATACTGAGGTTGAATATGTATGTCCACATATATGCATACACACATACAGATACATCGATGGTCCTTATACTTCTTCTGTGACTTGCTTGTTCATTTGTCTTTTCTATCGTGGCATTGCCTTATTTTTATGATTTATACATCAAGGAATTAATTCGTTGTCTATCACATATGTTACAGACATTTTCCCCTGTTAGTGTATGTCTCTTCTTTTTGTTTATGTCAATTTTTTACCTTAGATTTAAAAAAATTCTTTTAACATAATTTCAAACTTACAGAAAAGATGCAAGATTAGTGCAAAGAATTCTCAAATACCTTCACCCAGAGTCCTCAAATGTTAGCATTTTATTACATTTGTCTTATTCTTTTCCCTCTCTCTTTCTCTCTATCTGTATAATTTTTATTTACAACAATTTACAAGTAAGTTGTAGACATGAAGCTCTGGCATTTAAAACTAGCCGTATAGGTTTTACAATAGGCTCCATTTTTAGGACAACTTTAGATTTACAGAAACATTGAGAAGCTAGTGCACACTTCCCATAGACACTGGCCCAGGTTCCCATATGAGTAACTTACTTACAATTAATGAATCAATACTGACACCTTATTATCAACTGAAGTCCGTTGTTTACTTGAATTTCCTTAGTTTTTACCTAATATCCTGTTTGTGTTGCAGAAGCTCATCCAAGACATTGTATAACATTCGGTCATCGTGTCTCCTTAGGCTTCCCTTGACTGTGACAGTTTCTCAGACTTCCTGTTTGTGATGATCTTCACAGTTTTGAGGTGCCTGGTCTGGTATTTTGTCGAATGTCCCTCATTGGGATTTATGTAATATTTTTCTCATGATGTTATTGGTTTTGGGGAGGAAGACCATAGAGGTAAAGTGTCATTTTCATCACATCATATCAAGGATACATGCTGTTACCATGATTTGTCACTGTTGATGTTGACCCTGACCTGAGGAATACAGAGCCTTTTTTTTTTTTTTTTGAGGAAGATTAACCCTGAGCTAACTGCTGCCAATCGTCCTCTTTTCGCTGAGAAAGGCTGGCCCTGAGCTCACATCCGTGTCCATCTTCCTCTACTTTATATGTGGGACGCCTACCACAGCATGGCGTGCCAAGCGGTGCCATGTCCGCACCTGGGATCCCAACCGGCGAACCCCGGGCCCCCAAAGTGGAACATGCACACTTAACCACTGAACCACTGGGCCGGCCCCTACAGTGCCTTTTAAAGCCCATACAAACAAAATCAGTGATGTTGAGGTCAGGTCAACTATTCTGAACAAAATTTGGAGGTTCAAGTAATCTTTGAATCCTCATGAAAACTGTGCAGTAGCTGGAAAACTGTTATGTTCGTTGCAGTTCATGGACCTGGATGATATGCTGATGGGAATTCCCTAAGTGTAAGGGTAATTTTATTCACTGTGTTTTTGGTGATGTCACGAGTTAGGAATTAAAGTTAGAACAGAAAGTCTTAAGAGCAGTTCTTTAAAACATTTATGTAGCATATTGTTTGAACTACAGACATTTTTGCTTGCATCGCCATGGGGGTAAGAACATCTGTGTGTGTCTGTATCCCAGATGTAGCCTTTGATTTTCTCGAATTGTTCTGCAGAGGAACACATCTTATCTAGAAACGATTCAGCTGTCTTGTTTCCATTATTCTTGTTTCCATTCAGTGGGTAAACCTTTTGAATGCCTGAGCAGTTAAATTCCCCACATCCTACATTTATCATTTCCAGGAGCCAATAAGAAAGGTTAGTAAAGTGAATCTGAATGATTTATTTGTACAGAACGGATGAATTTCCTCTTAGTCGTACATCCGACACCCACATGATACCTCATCTCTGATGCTGGGAAGGAACATTTTCAGGAGAAATTTGATGCCCAATTAGTGTGTTTTAATTTAGTCAGTGGAATTTCCATCTGGCTCTAATGTGTATTCTGGAGGGTTAGACTAGAACAGAGTTGAACAATTTATTGGTTTGTGAGGTGAGGTCAGTAGGTACAAAGAACATTTCACACAAGCAGGATTTTAGACATGCTGAGGTTTTCACCTCTTTTTGTTAGTTACAGGATAGTTGGGGACAGAGAAAGCACATGCTACTTATTTTGTGATTAAGCACTTAATATAAATAGTTTAAAATAAGAAACAACTTCACAAAAATAGATGATAGATGTCTTCTCTTCTAAAGAAATTGGAAATTTACAGATACATAGATATCTGGAAGATAGGTGACTGTTTCCTCGTTTTAAGATATAGGGCACAGAACTTTACTTTAGATAAGTACATTTTTCATAAATAACAAGTATGCTTTTAAAATGTTTTATTGCTTTTTATAGAGAAAGAGAGGGAGTAAGAGAGAAAGAGAACCTTTTCAACTTAAAAACTTCCCTACTTTGGGTGCATTTACACACTAATATTGAAATTAATAACTAAACTCAACCACCACAGAAAAATCTAAGATAAAATAAGTCTATTATAAAAGTGAAGTTTAATTCCTATTATATCTAAAAATAGAGAGGATTCCAGATATAAAGGACCCTGGTAAAAAAAAAAAAGCTGTTTTCCGTTTTGTGGTATGTATTTTTTTAGTCCATTTCAAGCAGGTGTGTATTGTGCCCCCGGCCTTTGGTGGTTCTGTCTCCTTGTGCTCGAGTGTGATCTGAGATTGCTGATACTGTTTACGTTCTTTGCTTCCCTAAGAATTATGCTCCTTTCCTGGGATCCCTCATCTCTAGAAGTTTTGTCACACTATTGAGTAATGTCCATATTTGGTTATCTCTTAACATTTTCCCCATTCTATATTTAGGCAAAAAATTAGCACTTATTATTTAGATTTTCTGTCTTTCCACAAAGGTATAATAATACAATCTCAAATGATTGTGGAATGTTACATTTGAATAGGAAGTTATAAATGTGTTTCTTTTGACAGTTCTGGATTTCAGATGATTATAGATTCATTATTTTTAGGAGAGAAAGGTGATTGTGTATCTATAAAACTTTTGAACATTGACCTTTGCTAGCGTGAAATTCCGATTGTGTTTAATCATGACTACTAAGATATACCCGAACAAGCCCCAGGCAGAGTTTACAACGAAAACATTTAGTCCTTCCAGGAACAGGACTAGAAATTTCTCCACATGTCTGTAGACTCTGAACCTCAGGATGTCTGTGAACATTTTACTGTGTTCCACTGTACCCTCAAGTTCGTTTCCCAGCCATGGAAAATGCCCATGAGAAAGAGTTGTGCAATTGCTAACTGTTAGTCACTTATATTTCCTGAATATTCCCTATTTAATTTCCCTGGTAGCTGGCAATAACATCTAGGATTTAAGTTGCTGAAGGGAATTCGGGAAAACCCACATAAATGTCTAAGATGAGGTTTGGCAAGCTGTGTGTCTTGGTGACATAACAATGTCATAACTAGAGATTTCATCAAACAGAAGAGACAGGAAATCCCTGCCGCTGCCAGACACCCACTTAAACTCACTGGAGTCTGAGGATCATCGTTTGTTAAAAATGGATTCTACACAGTTTTTAATTTGATTATCTTGCTGCTGGAATAAAAATTTGGACCTGAGGTTTAGGTGCAATGAAATTTCTTTAAAAATGGACATCTTAAGGGAATTTTCAGGAAAACAAAGGAAAACTTAGTAAAGTTTCTGTAAGGGGAACAACAGCTTCTCCACGAAAAGCCCAGCCTGTTCCCTCCAGATGGGCCTGAGCTCTGGGGAGGGCCCGCTGGGCCTGAGCAAGCCACCAAGCCAACCACGAGAATCAGAGGGAAGATGGAGCCCTGGGCTGACTTTTCTCACACCCAAGAACCTAATGGACGTGATTTTTAGCTTAAGACAGCATTCTATAAATTGGGGTATTACACTTATCTTTATCCCTGTAAAAGCGGTCAGACGTTCTGAAGGTTGTTCCGTCCTTGGTGTTGTTTCACTGTTTGTAAGTTTTGATTGCTTCAGGGTACCTCCTCCTCTTGTTCACTTTTTGTTTTTATTGTGGTTTGGGTTTAAGGATACGACCAAGTTCTGTTCTAGAAGGTGGTAACGTTTTATTAGACAGAAGTGTACTTGAAAAGGAAGTTCTACTCCTATTGTTCTACTCTTCACTTTTCTCCACTCACACCTGTTAATTCTATTGTGCTTATTGTATCATCCTGGGCTACTTTCTTTGTGTAATTCTTTGATATTTAATTCTATTGCTTTGGTAACTATTGAGGTCATTGGTTACCATTATATATGTCTGTTTGCTGCATTTCCTCCATTTAAGACATCTTTATTACATTCGTTGGATCATGAATTGAGTGTTATTTTTTATTGTCTGCCATTATATGGTGACTTTAACTGCTAATGCTTCTTGTGTGACATTGACTTAATCTGATAGGATGGTAATCTGCTCTGCTCTTCTTAAATTTGTGCAGGTGTCTTAGAATGTAGACCATCTTGTTACTTCAAAGGTTGACGTCTGTTCAGTTTACATAACTCCTGTAGACAGCAGATTGCTGGATTTGGCTGTATAGTGAAGTCCAGTCTGTTTGCTCATGGTGTTAGAGTTATATTTCCAAATTGCATCTTCAGCCCCCAACTCTCCCCTCACTCCTGACCTTGGGTATCTAGTAGGCATCTGTGTTGGTTTCCTGGGGCTGCCGTAACAATGTACCACAAACTGGATGTCTTCAAACAACGGAAATTTATTGTTGCATGGAAGTCCAAAATCAAGGTGTTGGCAGGGCCGTCCTCCCTGAGACTCTGGGTAGAGTCCTTCCTCGCCTCTTCCAGCTTCTTGTGTGTCCGTCAATCCTTGGCATTCCTGACTTGCAGCTACATCTGACTCCAATCTGTGCGCCGTCTTCATGTGATCTTCTTGTAAGGACATCAGTCATATTGGATTAAGGGCCCACTCTACTCCAGTGTGATCTCATCTTAACTGGTTACATCTGTAAGGCTTTTTTTCCCAAATAAGATCACATTGTAAGGTACTGGGGACTGGGACTTCAACGTATCTTTTGGGGGGGACACAAAATTTTTCTATAATTTTTTAACAGCTTTGTTGAGGTCTCTTCTTGTGTTCTTTTCAAAGATAGTTTCTGCTTTAGGACCTTTGCACTTGCTGTGTCTCTGCCTCCATCTTTTTTCCCTTCAGTCTTCTCATGGCTTACTTAGATCTTTCAACTGTCTGCTCAAAACTTACTTCTTCAAAGAGGCCTCTTCCAAACACCCTACCTAAAATAGAAACTCTCATCCACTATCACTATCTGACATTTTATGTTTGTTTACTGTCCATTTCCCCAACTAGAATGTAGGACCTCTGACAGCAGGAAATTCATCTTACATCTGGCCGTTATATCCCTGGCACCTAGAATGATGTCTCGCACATAGTAGACTCTCAATAAATACGTATTGAATTAATGCAAGAATGAATATAATTGTCACATCATTCACTTCCCTATCACTTTAACGAGCAGAGATCTGAATCAAAGTGAACAATGAGAAGATGTACAAGAAGAGTTTTTAAGTAGAGTGTGGGTGGACAGTATGTGCAAAGGACCTGAGGCAAGAGTGTGCTTGGTATGTTCAAGTAACAGAGGGGTTAGGCGGTGAGTGAAGGCAGATAGTAGGACATGCAATCAGAGAAATGGACAAAATCAAGCTACTGTCACCTTTCTCACCATGTTCTGGCCATGTGGCATTCTTTCCCTGGCTGTTCTAATGGTTGTCTTCTCATTCTTGGGTGATGGTTTAAATGTCACCTCCCTCTCGTTATTCTCTGTCACAGTACCTCGTAGCACTTATCACCACAATAAATTTGTTTACTTCTTTATTGTCTTGCCCTACAACCCCAAGTGGCACATAAGTGCCATGTGGGTTAAGACCATGTTTATTTGATGACTGTCATTCACCTGCGTCCTAATACAGTGCCTGCTGCCACAGTGTTGGTTAAGTGAGTGAACAGAGAACTCGTTGGTAAATGAGTTCCCCTGAGTAGTTCAATTCAATTTATAAAAACACGTCTCTCTTT